TAAAATAGGAATTATGATTTCCTCCCTTGTTTTGCACATGAATTTATAATAATGTAGCCTAGGAGCGGATTAAGCTTTTGGCAGACATATCCTCATGTTGACTCATGCTAAACTTACCCTCAACTAAAACCATCAGGCAAATTTTCATATATTTGGTATTAAGTCAAACCTTCCACATCCTGTGTTTGTACAGTTCATATTCGGACCTAAAAGTAGGACTTTACATTTATTCCTATTAAGTTTCTTTATGTTTGATTCAGTTCATAGTTCCAGAGGATTCTGCCATTGGATATATTATCAACCCCTGCAGATTTCTGGCATTCACAATCTGATCAACAGGTCACCATCACAGACAACAATGTTAAGCAGGCCAGGCTTAAAAACAAATTTTTGAGAAAAACCATTCTTGTAAGCTTATATGGATGGAATATTAATTTGCAATCTTTGGGTAAAGTTTTTTCAAATAGCTAAAAATCTTACAGTTATATCATCTGATATATATTTCTGTATCTTATCCGCAGGATATTACGAGACAATGCATTTCTGATGTCCGGAGAGTATCTTTACACTTTGTGAAGTCTAAAGACTAGAACAGGGTTTCTCAACTTCTGTGCTACAGAGATTTTGGGTTAGATAATTCGCTGTTGGGGTAGGGGAGGGCTATCTTGTGCATTTTAAGATACTTAGTACAATCCCTGGCCTCTACCCAGTAGTTGCCAACAGGGATCACAACCCCTAGTTGTAACAACAAAAAAATGTCTCCAGACATACCCAAATGTCCCTGGGGTATGTGTGGAAAATTACCCCCATTAAGAACCAGTGTCCTAGATGCTAGAATAGTCCCCCAATCTAATTTAGTAATACAATCAACCTAATATGGCTTTTTTGACCTTTTTAACTGTAGCTATGAATATGTTAGTTGCAGAGGGTTACAAACTTAAAAGTTGTTTAATTAAACAAAAAAATACATATATTGACTTGCTAAGACAATCTCTTGTTTTTAGCTCATGACAGTCATTTACATAATCCGAATGTTTGGAAAATGCTAATTTAATTTAGCTTAATAAAAATTTCTAGGAGAAATAGTCTTTGAATATAATATTGGAGCCATCTTTCTACAATCATGAAGATGGTACATCTAAAGAATTCCATATTAGAAAGCAGATACACAAATACATTCAAAAGATGTACGGAAATATAAGGAAAAGAATATATAGAGTGGAAGAGGGTAATATAAACTTTAGAGTGTGAAGCTAAATTAATCCTAGAGTAAAACATAAGGAAATCAAACTTTCAACAAGGAGTTCTATGATTTAAGAAGTAATCTATAAAGATCTTTGTACCTAGATGCTCATCAACGTATTATTTGGAAAGTGAAAAACTGGAGACAACTAAATATTCAACAACAGAAGATAAATAAGGTATATTGAGCTCACAGAATCCTAAGCAGTCATTGAAAATAACATTTCAAAATCTTTAATGATATAGGCAAGTGCACACAATATAATGCTGTGAAAAAACCAAGGTATTAAATATGCAGCATGGATATTAAGATTGCAAAGAAAATATATGCATAGAAAAAAAGATGAGAAACATTATTAGTCACTATGGGGTTATGGTAGGATTAGGCATAGTTTTAATAGTTTTATTTACACTTTTTGGGTTTCCAAAATTTTCTTAATGACTTGTATTACTTTTCTAAGTTTTTGTGTGCATATGTGTGTGGGGTTCTGGGGGTAAGTGTTCCATATTCCCTTATGTGAAAGAGCATTAGCAAGGCTTCTGTTTACAAACAGATGTGCCAGCAAGGTAGGATGCTTCAGAGAAAGCACATGAAGAAAGCTGTAATATTTATAACTGGTTCACTCAGCCATCGTGGGGAAAAAGAAATCTACGTATCACTTTTTATAAAATAAGAATGGTTTAATCTAGTTTCCAGCAGAACTCCATTGCTCCAAGTCAGAAGAATCACCCTGAGTTTGCCTATTAAAGATAGATTGCTGGGCTCCAATTCCCAACATTCTGATTCTGAAAGTCTGATGTGGGTCTGTGGGTCTTTAATAAGTTCCTCAAATGATTTATTCTGATGCATGTAGTTCATGGACCACATTTTGAGAAACACTGCTGTAAGAAATCATATGGTTTGACTTGGATGGCTTTTCCCCCCTCTATTTTAGATAATTTCTTCCAGGTTAAACATGGAAGAGAGTTGGTGTAGGCCCACAGTAGTGTGCTGGTAAATAAGCTCTTAAAAAAAAAAAAAAAAAAATCCCAGTTTAGTGCATTTGCCAATTTCTGTGATGTAAATACTCTCATCATGGCCAGTTTCAAACAACCAATGGTTTAACAGCAAGTTCATAAAATTCTTGAAAGTTTAACACTTACTTGGTTCTCATGAGCTGGTAAGGGCTGGCTCTAGTACTATGCATTACATATTTTATTCAAATGCTTTAAGTCCTTTAAAAAAGAGCTACATTAATGATAGATGGAACAGGTAAGCAATAGAATGGCTTAAATCATCTTAAATTTTTTTTTTTTAAATGTATTAGGAAAAATGGCAACTTTGAGTTTTTATATATTATTTCTTATTTTATCCTATTTTTTCTACCCCATGGCCAAACCATGAAGAGTGATTCACTTGCTGAGTTCTTTAAGAGTTGTGAATTGGTTTCCTATGGGTGATGGCAAGCCAAGGACTGAGACTCCATGGTTGGGAGCAATGCCAAAAGCTCAGCCTCCACCTCCAATCTCCATGGCCCTCAGCTCCTAAATTGTTGAAACGCCCCTGGCCATTAATTCTATAGCACTCAACCATAAAATCAACTCCTCCAACTTCTTCCCCTAGCACATGATTGAGACAATGTTGTCTCTAGGAAACCCCTATCAGATGTGTTTTATGTGTTCACGAGTGGGAAGTGGCCTAAATGGCAGCTAATAGTATAGTTCTTTCAATATTTTGACCAGACATATTTTAAGAAAATTGAATCTGAAGCCTATATAGCCAGCTGTGGCAAATTTACAACGCTGCTTTTAAGTACAAAATTCCCTCAAGGCACCTGCTTCCTAAAGGCAAAACCAGAAAGGAAATGAACTCTTGCTTAAAGACAACCCACCTTATTTTATGGGTTATCAATTTTCTAGCTGGCACACAGTTCTCCAGCTACTAAGACTTTTTTTTTTTTAATCTTTCCATACCCAAGAAAGAAGTGAACTGCAAAAAATGTGAAGTCTGCATCCTAGCAAACAGCTCCATTTCCTGAACATGAGACATGCGGTACAGAGCCTCAGTAAGTGAAGTCAGGGGACCAGCAAAGATCTATGGTGTAGGCTCACCACACAGATGCCTCTGCCAATATATGCATTAAAATCTTAGCCTGAATGACATTTTACATTACAGGATTACTGAATCTTGGGCTATGATGGGGAATGCATCTTTCTCACATTTAGGGCAGCTCTGTCAGGTGAATAGTCAACAACAATGTAAAGCACTTGATTTCGTTCTACTGCTCCACTCACCCTGGAACTGAGCTTATCAACCTCTCAACAATGAAAAAAGGCTGTTTTTTCCTTGCTATTGTTAAAGTCAGCATTCTCAACAAGAATAGACTACAAGATAGGGCTCTGTGATGGTTAATCGGATTTGTCAACTTGGCTAGGCCATGATTCTCAGTATTAGGGAAGTACCCTCCATTTTGTGATATGATATAAAGAGAATTTCTTTAGGGGTGTGGTTTACATCCAACATATATGGATGGCAAAGCTCTCTCTTTTCAGATGCTGCATCTAACTCATCATCATCCCACCGGCCAGGTTTTTGGGAAGTGAGCCAGCAGCCTGCCATGTGACTTGTAAATTTGGGGTTCAGCCACTCCTGCTGGCAGCATGACTCCTGGCCCACACACAGAGTTGAGACTTGCTAGCTTCCACAAGTTCATGAACCATTTATCTTAAATAAATCTCTCTATATCCATATTTATACATATATATACTCCTATAGATAACCCAGCCTAAGACAGGGTCAGAGGCTAAGGGTAGATACTCTCAGGCTGCTGTGTGCTGGAAAACGCAATGAATAGGTATGAGTTGCTTAGTATTTGTACTCGAGTATGAAAATGAAGAAATGACTCTGCAAAAATTATAAGAACTAAGGCAACTAATAAATAAAAAGACAGATCAATCTGATTTCATATATGATAAAGTCAGAATTAAACATTTAAAATGTTGTGCTAGTTTCATCGTAATCTCTTTCTTCAAGCTTCATTTAGTTGTGTAGGGGACAAATTTTCAGGAGAAATCTGATTATTCAATTATAAGTTTCAAAACCAACCATTTACTCATTTACTTGGGATGAGTGCCAGAGTTAACATCGAAGATATGTGAAGGACCTCTTGTCCAAATGGAACATTAAGCTCCTCAAATAGGCGAATTCAGTTCTTGCAAACTGCCATTCTTTTAGTAAACGAAACCAGCCCTTTAACAGATGGCCTACGTACTTTGTACTTTTCAGTTTACAGATCGCCTAATAAAAGACATTGGCTTTTTAAAAAGGAAGGACATGTACTCCTCAAATTACAGTACCCACATGGAATAAAATTAAGAATAAAGTTAAGGAGGCATTCAACAGTTTGACAAAAATTAGGAACAGACTACGGGAATCTGATAGTTCTAAACATCCATATTAAAATGACCTTCAATAAAAACTCCAAAAACTCATCGCTTAAACCACAGAGAAAATATACATCAGTATAGCTGACATTAGGGGAAATACGTTATGGAATTATATGTACCGATATAATAAAAATACGAAGTTAATTTCTTTTCAAAATATAATCAAATTCTCCAGAAAGGCATGTTCCATTTCTATCAGGTGCCTTTCATTTAACATCAGTCGACCTTTATGCTTCTTCAAATAAGATTTCTCCAAGTTGATTGTTGCAGTAACTAAATTAAGCACAGACCACGGACGCCAATAAAATAAGGACCTCAGCCTTTCTGCTCACCTTTCACGTTCCTCTTTCATCTTCTGTAGCTCCTCTTCTCTCAGGCCACCCTGCTTCACAGCACCTTTCTGCTCGGCCTTTCCACCTTTATCTTCTTTTTTCTTCCCAAATCTACTGAAACACCAAGGAGGAGACGTTTGCTAATAAGAATGATGTTCCTTTATGAGCCGAATTATTGAAATATAATTGTTTTTCTAAGCAAGAGAGGATCATGTTGCATAAAATGGAAGGAAAAAGAATCATGAAAACAAAAATAATGCATTTACTAAATTCTCTGTCCTTCCTTTTTTCCTTCTTTTCTTCTACTCAGGTCTTTATTGTGCATCAAATATAATATCGTGATTAAAATACTAATTATTTCTAATCATCAACTCAATAGCAAAATATTGAATTTTTATCACTGACATATAACTAAAAACTGATCAGTTTCTCAAACAGGTCTCCAGAGCTCCACTTGGCATTGCAATTTAAGATTAAAATCACAGGATTATATAATGATAGTACTGTAAGGGATTTAGTCAAATACCTAACTTAATACATCTATTTTATCAGGGAAGAACTAAAAGCTCAGTGATTTCTTCTGGGTTTGACCAAGACCACCCACCAGGTGTAGGGCAGGGCTGGGATTAGAGCCTGGGTGGCCTCTGACACTTCACTCTTTTAAACACATCACCTTCACTCCTCTCATTTTCAAGTAAGTCTGAGGTTAGTGGGCTCTGAGCATTCCTTGGTGCCTGCATACATTAGCTGTGACAATTATCAT